TTCTTCAGTGCCTTGTATTTTCTCTTTGTTAAGGTACTTCTACCCCATAATCAACAGACTTATTGCATTTCTAATAAATTACTCCCTATGCTTATCAATTTATGCATTCCCCCTCACCTCTGGGTCTTAAGTTATTTGCATCTCTGTAAATGATCCTTTTCCATCAAACATAGTGCACTGCTCTTTGCCATTATTTCACAATGCATAATTTAATCCAATATAATTAAAATGTGATTTTTGTACTCAGCCTGCTTTACTTATTTTGCAGGTCAAAAATTATTACTTCAACCCAAAAATCTTGACAATGAAGAGCTTTATACTTATGAGATATATATTTTTACATACATAGTAATTCCAAAACTTTCTAGAGAACCTTTTTTTATAATCCACTATTGTTTTGGTAGTGTATGAATGTGACTGCCAGGGTTTGGGGGTTTTTATATTTTTTTTACTATCTAAAATTTTAAATATTGAATTAGAGGATCAGTGCTCCTTGGCTGAATTTATGTCAATAAAACTGTTTTCCATACAGTCGAAAGAGAGGTTTTTAAAGCTTTTATGCTTCAAATTGTAATTTTTTTCTGATTATTTAGAAGGTCCTAATCACATTAGGAATAGTGACTTATTGCCTTGCTTAAGGCAAATGTTTCCTCTTTCTTTTTCTTATAATCTGATGGGGGGGGGGGGCAGAATTAAAAGAAAGAATACAGCAACAACATAATAGTGATTTACTAGAGGACTATTATAAATATGAATCCGCTAGTTAAAAATCACATAATAACCTCTGATCAAGTTGCAGAAGATCCTGCCTTTTAGGCGTTTTGAGGCTGAGAGAACTCTAAAAATTGAAAATGGCATCCCAGTTTCCTACATGGTTCATGAGAAGAGCCAGAGCCCTTGGAATGGATGCTAAAGGAGAAAGGACACTCCACAGATGCAAGCAATTATGAAGAAAGCATAGGCTATGGTGGCAGCTGAGTTCTGAGTTTTGTTTAAAGTTTGTAGTATATTCCCTTTCTGACAATTAAATCAGTGAAGTCCTCTGCTGGGTGTAGACATTAATATTTATTTAGTGTTTTAATATTTTTACTGTCACCAGAAGTGGTAGTATTCTCTCATATTAAAACACTGAAATATTAATTTCTATTCAGTAGGATCTGGCAGTTCATATTCTCCACTGTAGTGCTTATATCATGAAGAGAAACTTCGAAAAATCTTTCTAACAGAGGAAAACTACAATTCCATTTAAAAAGACAAACTTAAGGTAGTATGCCTCTCTAATCAAAACTACTCTCGGGAAGTTCATCAGAATTTTAGTCAGAATTAAGGAGTGGAAGAAGGAGAAAAAATGCTTACATACAGATTTAGTAGTAAGTCCTGTCCTTGTGGCATGAGGGACAGGAATTGAAGTTGCCGGTAGACAGCAGGAGAAAATACCAGCATGCTTCGGTCAAAGTTGCATCTAGCTTCTAATCATTTTAAGCCCAAATGTGGAATTTTTTTTTTAAACATCTCATTCCAATTTAAGCAAGACATGTAATGCAGATACATTTTAATTAGTAAGTGTTGTGACAACATTTAGTAATTCACTTTGACAAAGAAGACGTAACCCAAGACCCACGCTCATTCTGGCTCTACAGAGGTGTTGTGGCAGTCCTGACCAACACACTCAGTCCTGAATGCAGATGATGTATCTACTGCTCCTTCTCAGTATGCCCAACAGGCTGATCAATATAGAAGGAAATATGCTTTGGAAACATTAATTCTAAAGCACTACTCAATCCTGGGAAATTTGTACAAAGGTTAACACAGACCACTTGCAAGTCCTTCTACTTAAAGTGAATAGTAGCCACAGAAGCTATATCTATACTTATAAATTAAGCATATATACGAATTTTTGTTGACACTATAGCCAGCTGGCAAGGACCAGACCACATCTATACTATGAAACTCTTTATGCCCCTAAAACCGGTTGCTCACATGCAACAGCTCATTAGAAATGCTTCTTCACCCACGATAACTCTCAAGCTATGCCAGGAATTTTTTGGGAGAGTGCTAGATGGTCCATTTGGCCCAAAATCCATGGTAGTGATCATGCTAAGATAAATTAACAAAATAGATGATGGTGTTCCACCATCTGGGAATGTTCTAAGATATTTACTTCTGGTAAATGTGTAGATTGAACAATTTGAGTTTAGATGAGAATATGGAATTAAACCCACTTAAGAGACACTGAGTGATGATATTGTCCTGCAAACAGGCATTAATATCTTCCTGGATTTATCTCTGTCCAATGACATGTGAATGTCTTTTCTGAAGCAGAAATACAGAATAATTACATTGCCTCAAATTTCCTGAAAAGAATGGCATGAACTCAGTCTCTGCCATGGAAGAATGGGAAGTGCAGAAGAGGGAACACTGCGGTAGCAGAGCCCAGGCTTCTTTTCTTCATTTTTTCATTAGGTTTCCTGAGCTATCATGCTATCTATCAATCTCTGAGAATATAATTGCTTCAAATTCTGTTAGCCTGCCCTTTTGCCATTCAACTCATTCTCCAAGGAAAACAAATTTATAATGAAAGTAGCATGTGAGGTACTATAGAAGGGAAGAAGTTTGAAGGTGATCACAAAGCACCAGAATCACTTTTAGTTTCTTCTGCTTCAGTAATATCCATGGGGCTTATACAAATGTGTCTAGAAACGCACTGCTAAAATGGAGACATTTATGATGCTGGCATAAAAGCTGAACAAAACCTTGAGTCTCTACAGAGGTTCAATGTAGTAGTAGTAACGGGAAGCTGTTTTTCTTGGGTTTACTTGCTTTTATATGTAGTGAAACCATGATTAAGTCCTATAGTACCTGCTGTAGAAAAACAGAATATGGTGAAGACTAATACACCAACGTCAGAAGCTGTAATTTCATTGCAATGATTTTTCTACTTCCATTTTTTATTATTTACAGGTTTTAGTCAGCTAAAGTACCTGTTTGAAACTTTTCAACACTTTATAAGCTTGATCATGTTTACAGACAATAAAGGCATAACTGAATATGAATAATGTGACAAAGAATCATATACATGACATTCCTATTTCACTTAAACTGGAACTGCCTCTCTGCTGGGATGTCCTCTCTTAATACAGACTGAGAACGGAGGATCTACACCTCTTCCTGGATAGTCTGGAGAACAGGGTGATAAGAAAAAATAGCATGTTTGTTCTCTTTTCTGTGCTTCCACATAACAGTGCCAGGAAGGCATTGGTTCAGGGTTTACTGCTTTGTGGCCCCACTCCTTAGCTGTAAATAACCTCTGCTACAGGGCTGAAAAGAAAGAAAAATTCCCTGCATTGCTATACAAGAACAGGGGATAAAGGAGAAGGGGAAAAAAGAAAAATGAACAAGAAGGGTATCAAGAAAGGAAAATAGTGGAAGAAAGGAAAAGGACTTTTAAATTCCAGAAAGCTATATGGCATAGTCTCTGTATATTTCTATTCAAATAGTATAATAAAATCTTTGGACAAATCACAAGGAAGAATCATCCTGGAACCAACAGACTTACTTATCAGAGAAGAGCTACCTAGGTGCTTACTGTTTTCCAGGCTCGAGGCCTGAAGTAATCAGAGGTTACCAGAAAAAAAAATACTAAAGGCATGCCACAAGTAAGATTTGTCATCTCTTTCAAAGCCTGACTGTGCTCTAAAAGTGCAATGTCTTCACAGATTGACTAGCTTTTTTGTTAATTCTCTGCCTATATGACTACTACTACAAAAAAGTCAATGTTAGCGCACACTTGGTAGTTAAAGGACATACCACAGTGATGGGACTTGTTGCATTTGGGACATTCTACTCCTTGATGAAGACTCCAGACCTCACAGCCAAGGTAGTAGTAAAATAACTCCTTTCACTTTTCTGTTCCAGATTGCTAGCAGAGAGGGTTGGGGTTTTTTCAGACTATAAATTTAGTTTCTTATTTAAGTCTCTGATGTAAAAAGTCTCTGAATTTTGTTGAGCTGTTCCATCTGTAATCTGCCTCCTAAAGGACAGTATAGTGCACCTATGTGACCTACAAAAACTAGGAAATGTGCCATGTATGCTGGTACGAGGTCTTCCCAATGGGAAACAATTTTATTAAATATGATTTTTCATATTTCCCTTTGATACTAGTCTATCTCAGCCTAGACAAAACTTCAGAACAGACTAAATCACCTTTTACATAATTTTGACCTAAAAACCCCAAAACTAACATACAAAGGAAAGCACTTCAGAATAATGGAAAGAGACATTTTTTTTTTCATCTCTTTTTCATCTCCTTTTCCTCTCTTCATGTTTTAGATTGGGAAATGCTGAGCATCTGGAAAACTGTTTTTCTCTGTTTTTAAAACAGAGAGAAGAGCATATAGATTAATTCTGAATGAATTCAGAATTAAAATTGAAATAGAATGTACAATAATTGCCCTATGCAATTTGCTACTCATAGCTTTAGCTTTCTAAACATATTTCAGTATCTCTTCCTGTGCATTATAGTTAAGGCAAACTGAAGAAATTGGAAAAAATAAGACAAAAGTTTTCAGAATGTGAATGCGTACTTTAAGGACTCTGTTTGCAGTCTCAATGAAATCTTACATTGCAGCCATTGTTAGTTGCATCAACATATTTCAAAGCAACGGAATTGATCCTTATTTCTTTAGCACCTCAGTTAGAAAAATAAATGTTATACTGGTTAAATGTGCCACTAAAGTAAAGCTATAAACCCCATACTGCATTATGGAGAAATAAAATAGTTTCCTAGTCAAAATCAGTTTATTTCCAATTTTGCCATGCCTTTTGAAAACATTCCTTCTAGAGTTTGGCTCAGTATCTACTGACACCAGGACTTCTGATATTGACTTCAAAGGGAAAAAAACTGATCTCTTTCTGCAAGAGGTTTCCGGTTGCAGTGCTGTGCTCTGGCTTGTCAACTAGTCTGACAAAGTGGTAATTTATTTTATACTTTCTCATCATACCTTGAGAATTTTGCACATTATCTCATAAACAGAAAATGTTTTCTCAGCTCGTGTCCAATCCCAGGTTGTGACCTTGGAAAAAAAACACAACAACAACAAAAAATAAAAAAAAAACAAACAGGAAAAGAAAGTAAGTTATTTTTGTTTATTTCAAGAATTAATTTTACTTAAAATTAAAATCTGTCCCTAAAACTTTCTACCCTTCAGTATGACCAAACATTGCCTCAGAGCAATAACTACCAGGGAGCAGACTGTTCCATCCTGGCAGTACTTAGGAGACGTCCTGCCTGTCTGCTTGTGCTTACAGCAAAGTGCCTTTGCATGCAGGCTGCTCAATGCTGAACCATGAGGCTTCCCCAGGGAGCCTCCTGCCCACATTGGTGGGGGTTGCATGGAGATCCTGAGAGGATGCAGCCCTTGTATTTCTCTCACAGAGTCTGGACTATAAGAGGGCATGATTCTCACCAATTCCCTCCTTGCAACTGCATGCCACAATTTCCTCCCAGTCACTCACATTGTTTGCAAATCCATAACACCAAAGTCTCCAACCTTGCAATGTCCTAGACACCCCAAACACCTTGAAATCCAGGAGAAAAACTAACAAGAAACAACAGAGGCAAATATACATTTTCTTTTTTTTCTCACTAAGATTAATCTACTCCTAAATTCTAACAAACTAAGATTTGAAGAATAGTCTACTTTTCTTCTTTGTCTTAGGAACTGACAATTGCTTTTAACAGTAATAAACTATTTTACACAAAAAAATTATATAGATGAAAGAGTTCAATAAAAGGCTTAAGACTTAAATAAGACAGAAAGGGATGGATGAATACATTCAGTAAGGGAAGAGTCAAGCGGATATCACAGCAATCTATAAATAACTGTCCAAGGAAACTGCAAGAGGAAAGATGAGAATTATTCACAGTCTCAAAAGACAGAAGAACACACAAAACAGAATGAAAATTGAGGCTATATATGGAAAAAAAAAAAAAATCTTAATGGTAAAGAGGTATTGAACAGTGGCCTGGCTCCAAAGGAAGACAGTTGTATCATTACGATTGTTAGGCAAGATGAAGAGGCTGATGAAGACAGAAGGTTTTTTCATTTTCAAGGTTCAAGAATATAAAGTTCTTTGAAAAATGTATCATTAAATTGTATCCACAGCATATAAAGAAAATATTATATAAGACCAATTTATCTTTTATCTAAAGAGAAAACCATCATGAATAGACACAACATAGCTGAGAAGCATTTGTGGGGTTTTAATGCCTTGGTATAAAAGTTTCTTGATCAAAATTGTTTTGGTGTTGTATGAGAAAATTCTATCCCTAACTAATTTTTAGATATAAACATTATTGTAATTGAAAGCCCTTTGAGGAAATCACAGTCAGGAACAGAAAGTTCAAAAATACAGTGTCATAGTTCCTCTTCCATTAGAAATTTATTTGCAGTCATCCTCAAACTCAGTTTTCACTATCTTACTGAAGCATGGGTATTAAACCAGATTTCTAAGGAAGGGAGTGACTAAATACTGAGAGTTCACAAATCATTTGGTACAGAATGAGGAAGTAAAGAAATATTGGAAATATACAGTCTTTATGCCTGAGTTTTAAGAAGCTATTCAGAGATGTGATGAATGATACGCAAAATGCTTTTGTCAGGGAAAGAAAAGAAAAAGGAAAGGAAAGGAAAGGAAAGGAAAGGAAAGGAAAGGAAAGGGAAAAAAAAAGTAGCTGTTCTTTCTACTATGGACAAAAAATGAACTTTCTCACCATGAAGAGAGAAATGAGGAAGGAGTCTTGCTACAGCTCCACTGAACCCCAAACACCAGCCACACAAACAGAAGTCGTATTGCCCCATCAGGAATAGCTACTATTGCTGCTGAAGCACAAAGCCATTTGGAGCTGTGTTTAAAAGCTTACTGAAGGCTCCATACTTTGGGGAAAAATATCAGAGCTCCTCCTTCTCCCCTAGTTTCCTGCTTTTGTTTGTATGTATAAAGGAACTTCTTTTCAGGTCAAAACAAAACTCTTCCTGTATCAAGATACGTGCAAAGCAAAAGCAACTGTAGAATTACAACATTCATAGAAATTGCTTGCCCTGTTCACTTTTAATATTTTAATTTAAAAGCTTGAGTAGCAATAGAAAAGGTGTTAGCAGCTCTTTCTCAATTACAGTCCATTCTCTTTGAGATTTCCAACTATAAACTGTAAGAAAGTGAAAACCAGCAGACTTGACACACTTAATAATTCTAAAGCAGAAAATGTACTGGGAAATAACAGAAAAAGAAAAAGAAAAAAAAAGAAAAGAAGCAATTTTGTTTAAAGCTTTCAAAATGCAAATAAGATACATTAGAATTGCTCATCTATCCAAGCACGGAAAGTAGAAGTACTTTTGATCAAACAGATAAAAAAGAGGCAGGGAGAGGCTGCTGATACACAGTTTAAACATATGCTTCCCTAAAGTGTTAGACTTTGGCAGAGACCCGGGAAATACTTTCATTTGATTTTCTGGTTAAAAAGTTGGCGGCACATCTCTGTTCAGAAAACAACTTAATCCAAGGAGTTTACACTGCAAATATAATTAAAACTGTTTTTCTTCTTATAACAACACTTTATGCATCTCATAACTAGAAGCTCTGAAACTATGGCATGTAAAGTTTGTTCTTAATCTTTCGTAATCCCTGGAAGAGATGAACACATATACCTGCAGAATAGCAAACATAACTGTGTGTGTAAATGTTTGCATATACAAAATAGGATTTTAGAAGTCCTTTTAAAAGTCTTTGATAAGAAGATAATTTTGTTGCATACAAGTGCGCAGTTACTACATACATTACATGTTTTTAAGGTAGGAGCTCTTCTTCTGCCCCTTAAAGAACATGTTTCTCATTCTGCTTCCCTCCTCCTCTGGAGAGAAAATATTCTGCTCTACATTTGAACTGTCTTTCTATTTTAGAATAAGAACTAGAATCTGGCAAAAGAAATATAAAGACTTCAAGGATCGGTGGCTTGTCTCCTACAGCAGCAGCTTGTCCAAATTGTCCTAACTCACATCACTGCATTTCACAGCCCTATTATGAAGATGTTCCTACCACGCCCATTAATCATCACCCATTACCCATTTACCCACCAGCAGTATATTACTCCTGGAAACTTATGACTGCATCCTCAGTAAAAAGAGGCTTGTCGTTCCTTCCATACTGCTTACATAAGAATAATCTTCCTCTTTTGTATTGAACAGGAGTTCTCAGCATTGTTTCTGCTTCTATCCTGTGTCTAGAATGGAGGTCGCTTTATTTGACAGGCAGCAAATGCTCAGGCAGGTCTGCCAAAGCCAAGAGAGCTGCTTTTGAATTAAGGTGCTTGGCAGCATAATCTGACATTTTAATCTGATCCTGAAAAATATCCACCAACAAAAGCCAAACTCCCCTTACTAGCCATGGGAGAGCCAGACTCCCATACCGGTGAACTAGCGTACTGACATTGAACACACAAAGTTTTCAGTTTATACTTACTTCCATTCTTCATATCTTCAAAACGATCTTAAGCATTTTGCTAAACAAGCATGAATAGTGACTGATGAATGATGTAAAGACTGGCAAGATGGCTTTGAACTACCTCAGGCAGTAACGAGCTACAGCCTGGTTCAGCAGCAGTCAGAAAGGTCACTCAATAGACAGAACAAATGAATCCACACTACTCTCCCTGTTGCTGGTGTGGGACTGCTACTAGCTCCTTAGCTACTGGCTTAAAAGATAGCTAGAGGATATCTCTGTTTACTGCAGTTCAGATGTACCATAAAACTGTGAAATTAAATGTCTGAGTATGAGACAACAGCTAAAGTTTTGCCCAGTGTTGCCAGTCAGATTCCAATTAATATATTTAACCTAAACAATTTCATTTGCTTCCCTGCCTTCCTTTTGGAGCTCTCAAACAGCATAAAAGTTACATTCAGGATGAAATCTAAATACAGAGATATTGCCATTTCCACAGCATGCAAAAAGCTTTGATATTTCCCCAAATCTCAGCAGTTTGACTATAACGATAGTTCAGTTTAAATCTAACCATCTTGCTTCAGGCTTGTTTTGTCTGCCAAAGGGAAATGAAAAGCCCCCTTTTAGCACAAGCAGATTTCTCTTGTATTTTTCCATGTGCTCAGGTAAGTGGGGGAAAAGAAATTCTTGTTAGATGCCAAATCATCTGATAAACAGCTGTTTTCTGTCACTTCTATACCACATACTCTGAAACTTTTCAGTGCTGTAAGTTGCAGTCCTGTTAGCTCAATGAGTGATGTGAGTGATGGGTCCTGCACTTGGGTCACAACAACCCCATGCAATGCTACAGGCTTGGGGAAGAGTGGATGGAAAGCTGCCTGGTGGAAAAGGACCTGAGGGTGTTAGTTGACAGCCGGCTGAAGAGGAGCCGGCAGTGTGCCCAGGTGGCCAAGAAGGCCAACAGCTTCCTGGTTTGTATCAGAAACAGTGTGGCCAGCAGGACTAGGGAAGTGATTGTCCCCCCGTACTTGGCACTGGTGAGGCCACACCTCGAGTACTGTGTTCAGTTTTGGGCCCCTCACTACAAGAAAGACATTGAGGGGCTGGAGCGTGTCCAGAGAAGGGCAACGAAGCTGGGAAAGGGTCTAGAGCACAAATATTATGAGGAGCGGCTGAGGGAACTGGGGTGGTTTAGCCTGGAGAAAAGGAGGCTGAGGGGAGACCTGATCGCTCTCTACAACTCCCTGAAAGAAGGTTGTAGCGAGGTGGGTGTTGGTCTCTTCTCCTAAGTAACAAGCCATAGGATGAGAGGAAATGGCCTCAAGTTGTGCCAGGGGAGGTTTAGGTTGGATATTAGGAAAAACTTCTTCACCAAAAGGTTTGTCAATCATTGGAACAGGCTGCCCAGGGAAGTGGTTGAGTCACCATCCCTGAAGGTATTTAAAGGACATCTAAATGTGGTGGTCAGGGACATGGTATAGTGGTTGGGCTTGGCAGTGCTAGGTTAACAGTTGAACTTGATGATCTTAAAGGTCTTTTCCAACCAAAATGATTCTATGATTCTATGTCTCATTATGAAAACCTTGTACATATTACACAAAATTATTTTACTTCATAACATATATTCCCACTAAGCATGAGAAATATACTTACTGGAGGTGCTATAAATTTATACAGGGAAGATCCCCTCAGTGCTAGAAACTTTGGTGTGTACATTCGATCCTGAAGGGAGTCTTGTTCCCGTTCTTCCGTCCAGCCCATGTAGACTATCTGACAGAAAAATCAATAGTGTTGAAAAACTCCTCAGACACTTTCTTCAAATGAATTGCAAATAATTCATGCAAGTAAGCTAATGTCTGTCAAATTTTACATAGCTACAAACCTTGAACCACTGTCTCTATATGGTGTATTGGCAGTTCATTTACAATCATGTACTTGTAAAAAGGATGCCTGTTGTGACAATCCAAAAACATCAGAACAAATATTTATTGTACTAGCAACAACAAAAGAGCTAAACCACATATTTAGTGGATGTTAAAGGTCTATTATCTCATTAAAAGCTCCCTGAAGTAATTCTACATATTTGCTGACAGATCACGTCACAGAAATTTAATGTAAGTAAGTGAAGTGTAAGGAACCACTAGGCAGGAATACAAAATCAATTGTTGCTACACTGCAATGTAGATACAGTCTCCACATACAGGTTCACAGTTATGCATTAAACAATACGATCTTACAAATTTTATTTCCAAATAATGGCAAGCTTTTTTTTTTCCCCTCTGAAAATCTCTATTGGGGAGTTTTGAACCTCCTTGCTTAGGAATAGCAAATTTACAGACTGTTTTCAGACACTATTTTGAACAGATTTCATCTACAGCTAAGAAGTAACCAGAATGCTGTTGACTCTTGCCACTACTTGCAGATCTTCCAACAGAGATGTATGAACTAGAACTTATTTAAACTTGTTTTAGGATCTAATTCCCTACCTATCCATCTATTAAATTTGAATAATTCAATATCAAATCCTTAAAGAATAACAGAGTATGAGTCACCACTATGCCAGCTTCTGGAGAACATCTGAAGAGGGAGTAGACACATCATGCAACTTTTGATTTATAACCATGCCATTAGTAATAAAATACAATTCCAGAGTGCACTGGAAGACTACTGCTATGGAAGATAGATCAACCCATATTGCATATAGTATTGTTAATGGAATAGATCTATTTTTAAATCTCTTTATGAAAGTGATTTCCACATTAACTAGGCATGGGGCATTCTCTGTCTTAAATGTCAGTAATGAATGTGTAAAGAAAACAGTTTAGGAAAAATAACTACAATCATATTAACATCCAACGAGTTATTCAGTTTACCGATGTTATAAATATACCTAAAATGAATGTTTATACTGCATGTTTTATCCTTGGAGTTTTTGTATGTCATGTACTTTTAAAAAGTGATTTCAACAAGTTTATTTCATTATTGTTGAGAAGAGGATTCTCATCAACAGTTCTTCATAGAGTATACATTAATTATTGTGGGGTGGTGGGTTTTTTTCCCTTTTTTTCCTTTGGATTGTATTGTAACACACTGGAAATTAATGGCTTTTTCAAATCCCCATGTATGAAATCTACAGTACTACTCTCCATCACGTTTATTAGATATTTTATGGTCTATAAACAGAGACAGGGAGAAGATCCATTCCTCTAAAACTTACAGTGAAACCTCAACATTTAATTCTTTTGCCAATAGCAAACACTAATACTGTATATATTCTCATGTCCGATAAAAAATGTGTGTTTAAGTATCTGCTGGTTTGGTGATTAAACAAGTTTATAAAATTCTAAAAGAAGACAGAGCTATACCACAATACTCAAGAATGAAGCAGAGCGGTCAAAACTATATTGTCACGCGATAACTAAAAAGTCACATTTTCTGAAATCTCATTCATTCCTGAATGAAGAAATAGTCAGGGGAAAGAAAAAAAAACAACCACTAACCCCCCACCCCCAAAAAAAACCCCCAAACCCTGACAGGTACAGTAAGAGAAGTTTTGAATTATTTCAGTTCGATGTTTATTCAGATTTCCCTCATTTCTGCTGTTTTGTATGTTATCCAATATAGGGTAAGTATGGGTACCCATCCCTCTGACTTGGTAGGAATCTGTAGAGCTCAGTGACTGAGAGGGCCTACACAGAAGAGTAAAATTAGCATAAAAAATTGTACTACCATGTGCAGAACTTTGGCGCATTTTCCTCTCTGTAACTGAAGAAAATGATTGATCTCTGATTTCCAGAATTGAGACATCTATGATTTTAAATTAATTAAACTGAATTGATTTGGTTCTAACTTGATTTGTTTCATTAAAATTGGACACACAGTAACACATCATCTTGCCTGATATTTAATATCACTGTAGCACTGTATGTAATCTGTTTTCAGTTAGTGTTTTTCACATTGCTCATTTCTACTTCTACTATTCATCAGAATAACAGGATACAGTCATTCATGCCGTGCAGATGTATTGATATTTCACATTTGATTGCCTTAATACTAAAGCAGCCATAGAATTTAAGGCAATTGCTCCTTTAGATATTTCTCCCTTGCCTTTGCAGATCATGAGGAGAAATTAGATTGATTTTTCAGACAACCTGCTGTACCAAGGTTTTATTAACAAAAAGGCATTTCTTCTTCAGACTAAATACCTACTATTAAACATACAGAAGAACTGTTAAGTAAAGGCTGCATGATTATAAGTAGGAACATGTATAAAGTTGTTTGAGTGCATGTGCATATTCACGTGTGGATTAAAATAGCATGGACTGGATTCTGAAAAACAGGGCAAAACTGAAAAAATACGTACCTGATGATAATTATTTTACCAATAAGTTCCTAAAGTGGTCTCAGTTTATCTAAACACCGTGAACATGTGAAGTTAGAAAAAATATTGTAATTTTTATATAGTGAAGCTGAGAATCTGTTGAAAATTTTTCACTTATCAGATAAAATAGAGGCCACGTTCCTGAGGCATTTATGTTACTGGTAAACATTTTGACTTCTAAAAAAAACTTTGCTATGAACAACTTACTTCAAGAAAATTATTTATTTGGAAAGGGATCTTAACTTTCCAAATGAGTAGTTCCTGTGTATATATGTATTGAAATACTGGATGGATATGAAATTTGACTTATGAGTTTTGGAACATATCTTCATGCTGTACATGTGGACTAGTCCCAAAATATGGAATTTCATGAGATTCTATCTGAAAAGAAATATTTAGAACCACAGACATATGATGAATGGAAATAAATGTGAATCACAAATAGACAGTGCATAGCATGCCCCTTTATAGGTTTTGGGGTTTTGTTTTTTGTTGTTTTTTTTTTTTTGTTTGTTTTTGTTTTTTTAAAAAAGATTAGTCTTTAATCTCAGAAAAAATTTTTGCATCCCTATAAACTGCTCAGTGTTATCAACAATGGTGTGTGGGTTTTGGGGAAATAGATTTTATTTGTGATAACATTCCACTTAAAAGATTATTTCTGTGGTCCTGGTTTCTAACTTACCTGAAGCAGCTCATTCTTCAAAATCAAATGGTGACACAAATTAGTTAACCTAGTGGCTGCTGGTTCAGTAACAAAGATTCAATAAGTTATTACGGTTTATGAGTTAAATCATGTACAGTTTTAAAAAAAATCTATATCTAAATGATAAATGAAACAGGACACTTTCTTCAGTCAAAAATCCATAATCTCCTAATTTAGTATGTACTTACATCACACAGACATCCTAATCAAGAAAGATAAATTGTCATAAATTGCCATATTTCATATCAATCCAACATATTTCCAAAAGGACTTAAATAACCTTGACTTTCAGAGAGACTTCTCCAGAGTTTTTACACAAATTTTATTATATTTTAGGAATAACAGTAAGACAAAAATACAACAAAATTTCCCCAAAATGAAATGTATGTGATATTAAATGAGTGAGGCAACTCAAAGATCAGAACAGATGCACTGACAGCTTTTTATCTTGGAAGCCTCATCTTCATACTCATATTATGTGAAACAGTGCTGTAGGGCAACAGGATAATCATAGAGTCAAAAGACAAATTAATATGTCAGACAACACAGGGGAAAAACTATGCGGGATGAAGAACTCAGATAATGCTCTCTACCCTGGTTTTAACATAATTTTCTCTGTATGGTAGTCTCAAAATTCATTATAGTAAATTGTTAACAGAAAAAGTAATAAAACCACACTAAAATGGAACAAAAAGTGTGATCGTAATGCAATCATTGGCAAAAACAGTGCTACATTTAAAAGGTTTGGGATTTTGATGCTGAGTAAGAATTTTTTTTTCAAAGTCAACAGAAGAACTAATCATATACAATTTTGAATGAATGCTAGAAAAATTTTACTCTACTGCAAATATAGTCAAAATATCTCCTATTGTATTTTTCAGGTTTGTGAAAAGCCTGGTAATCTTTCCATAAACATTTTTTTTAAAAATTCCTGTGAATTATTTTCTATCTTCTCTACAAAGTCCCCCAAAAAAAGGCAGACTGCATATGAAAAATAATCTCAAAGAAACAGAAGACAAATGGCAATGAAAAAATATTTTACATATGTTTCAGATTGGATTTAAAATAATTTAAAGCCTCATTTGCTTCATTATGATTAGTGACCAATATACATCAGTAATGGTCAGTATTTTCTAGAAAATTATGCCATGAAATTATTAATAGCAAAGGAACAGCTTTGGCAAATATACCCTTTTATTTCTGAACTTCAAAATTTAGAAATGAACTATTTTTGGTTTGAAGTTTGGATGGACATGGTCCTCCAGAGGTTCCTTATGACCTCAACTATTCTGTGATTCCATGAAATAAAAAAAAAAAAATTCAATGTATAAAACCAGAAAAAGATTGCTTGCAAAATATTTCCCCCTTCAGTTCTCCTCTATCTCCTCCTTTCTATCCTATGTGCTTTAGAACTACCTTTGACAAAAATCACCTTCATATTTTTGAAGCACCTACCTACTAATATTATTGTTATTCAGTCTCTAATAATTTAACTTGTTATTGGAGATTATAAAATTATTATGGGAGATAATAAGATTACACATTTATTGTATCATCTCATATAGCTTAATTTCCCTCTGGGTAAGAACTCATGTTGTCATATCTCATCATGTCAGACCAAGGCTGAGTATAGGTTTTCCATTTGGTTTTGTCCTGTTCCATTTTTTAAATGATCATACAGAAATT